AGGAAGGGTTGTATGAATTTAATAGGGCACCCTTTGGATTTTGCAACTCCCCAGCAGTGTTCGTACGATACGTTAATTACATATTTCAAACATTGATTAACAAAGGCATAATGGAGATGTATGTTGACGACATAGTTATTTTCGGAGATTCAGCTGGTCAATGTTTGGAAAATATGCGAATTGTACTGAAGCAGGCAGAAATGTATGGGCTTGATATAAAATGGGCCAAGTGTCAGTTCTTAAAGAAGAAAATAAATTTTCTGGGTCATGAAGTAGAAAACGGACGTGTTTGGCCAGGTCAAGAAAAGGTAAAAGCTGTGAAGAATTTTCCTCTTCCCAAAAACATACGGGGAGTACAGGCCTTTCTTGGACTAACGGGGTATTTTCGAAAGTTCGTTAAAGATTATGCATTACTAGCCAGACCGTTGACACAATTGTTGAGAAAAGAAGCCGAATTCAAAATTGAAGGGTTACATGTACAGGCGATAGAACAATTAAAGAATGCTTTGACGAATGAACCAGTATTGAAGATATTTATGCAGAATGCGGCAACACAGTTACATGTTGATGCGTCAAAAGATGGGTTTGGTGCTACTCTTCTCCAGCAGCATGATGGCAAGTGGCATCCTATTCTGTACTGGAGTAAAAAAACGACACCTCAAGAAGAAAAGTTGCATAGCTATTTTTTGGAAGTGAAAGCAGCATATTTAGCAACAAAAAAGCTACGACATTATTTAATGGGCAGTGAATTTGTTCTCGTTACTGATTGCGCAGCGTTTAAGATGACATCAACGAAAAAAGAAATTCCCAGAGAAGTAGTGCAGTGGTTAATGTATCTGCAAGATTTTACGTATACCATAGAACATCGCGCTGGTATAAGGATGAAGCATGTCGACAGCCTCAGTCGATTCCCAGTCATGATCGTAAGCACAGAAGTTCAGGCACAATTTTTAAAGGCCCAACGCAAAGATGAAACCTTAGTTGCAGTTGCAGAAATTTTAAAACTGAAACCATACGCAAACTACAAGGTCAGAAATCAGCTGATTTATAAACAAGTAGATGGTATTGATTTGCTAGCCGTACCGAAATGCATGGAAAAAGAAGTTATCAGGAATGCTCATAACTTTGGTCATATGGGTGTGAAGAAAACCATGCATCACATTCAGCAGGACTATTTTATAGCACACTTAGAGAAAAAAGTTGTGGAATTTATCGCGAATTGCATTGAGTGTATAACACATAACAGAAAGCTGGGTAAACAAGATGATTTTTTGCATTGTATCGACAAAGAAGATCAGCCGCTGAGTACACTCCATGTAGATCATTTGGGATCATTGGACCTGACTGCAAAGAAGTACAAATACATATTCGCTGCTGTTGACGGGTTTTCAAAATACACATGGTTGTATCCAACAAAGTCTACCGATGCGCAAGAAGTTGTTAAACATATCAGCTCGTGGGTAGCTATCTTTGGGAATCCACGGCGTATTATCAGCGACAAAGGAGCAGCATTTATATCGAAGCAGTTTAAAGATTTTTGTGAGGAACACAAAATAGAGCACATCGAGACTACTACAGGGATCCCAAGAGGAAATGGGCAGATAGAGAGAGTCAACCGAGTTATTCTGTCTGTTTTGTCAAAAATGTCTGCAGCCGAGCCGTCAAAATGGTATAAATATACATCACAGGTGCAACGATCTATTAATACACATGTCCACTCATCTACGAAGTACACTCCGTTTGAAATTATGTTCGGCGTCAAAATGCGTAATGAATCTGATCTGGAAGTGGTGAAAATTCTTCAGGACGAGCTACTGGAAGGCTTGCAGGATGAACGCAACCAAATCAGAGCTGATGCCAGAGTACAGATTGAAAAAGCTCAAAGTTGCTACAAGAAGAATTTTGACAAAAAGCGACGTAAGCATAGTGGTTACCAATTAGCAGACTTAGTAGCCATTAAAGTAACACAGTTTGTAAATGGTAAAAAGCTGGCTCCGAAATATATCGGGCCATACGAGGTTACCAAAATAAAACGTAATGGAAGGTTCGACGTGAAGAAAGTTGCAGAGTTCCAGGGTCCGAATCAGACTTCAACTTGTACTGATTCTATGAAACTGTGGCGTTACATGGGTCAAGACGAAGACGATGAAGCTGGAGAATCATCTGAGACAGATGATGAGCAGGATGGCCGAGTGTAAAGTGGCATCCTTGTGCCATTATCATCAGTTGGCACCCCCGATCAGGCGAAGGTGTAATTAAGAAGAAGTCGTGGGATAGTCGTTTTTCAACAGTCGTAAGCAGCAGTCGTGGCATTCAGTCGTCAGTAGTAAAGTTGTACAGCAGTCACTAAAGTTGGTCAGAAGTTGCAAAAGTCGGCGTCTAAACATATTTTTAAGTCTTATGTTATTATATAATACTATTCTTATTGTTTGTCAAATACTCGATATACTTTATTAAACGATTTATAAACCTAATAAATCTTACATGTATGTATACCTACTATATACCTCTTTTCGATTGCTTGAAAAACGAGAGACCCGTACGAATAGATACATATTAGACCGACAGACAGAAGCTATGAACAACGAAATATAAACTATCAAGACAACTCTATAACAATTTTAAAAGAAAAGTATTTAAAAATATAATTCTAAATATAATTCCAAATTAAAAACAAATTACTTTTCTAAAGAGTTTTCATTTTGAGATTCAGAAAGAATATCAAGAGATCTCAGTAACTATTAACAAAAATTCCAATAAATCAAAAAAACAAAAAAAAAATAACGACTGAGAAAAATTATAATTAAAAATAATTCGAAACTAAAATAGTAGTTGGTGAAGGTTTTTTGCTTCTACCCGCAATTCTCCAAGAGCTCACTTGGCCTGTACTACAAACTGTAGTTTTGGGCACATCTCCTGTTATCGATGTACTCGTAGCTAAAAATTGAGAGAAAGTGCGCAAAGAAAATAGTGAACTTTGCTGTTGCCTAATTATGCAAATCAATCATACGACATGTTGTCAAAAGTCAAATGTCAAGGACAGAAAGAAGTAGTACTCGTAGTGGTAGAGAAGAAGCTGCTCGACTAACTGCTGCTCGACGTTGTGTGATAATTGCCTGTAAAAATATTTGAACACGTAATTGACGCGAGTGGCAAGCACGGCGTATCAGAAAACCAACAACCAACCACTGAACCACCCAACAAATCCCCCCCCCCCCCCCACTCCTCCAGAAAACCCAAAACCTACGCCCCTGCTGTCCATGCCACCTGTGCACTTTTCCAAACGCAATTTGTGGCCATTATTGCACTTTGCTTTTCATTTGGCCAGCAACGTCGGCACAGTGTCGATTTGGCTGCTGACTGTGGACATGTCAACGCCCAGGCTGACGAAATATTTGATGGCGGTGCGCGGACGCCGCCAAGCTCCGCAGGAGTGTGAGCGTAAGTAGCGAGTAGTGCGGCTCTTTAATTCTCCACCTATATCTCAACCTAAACTCACCCCACCACCGCCACCACCACCACCACCACCAACAAAAACAACAACACCACCCACAAGAAACCCCCCAAACGCCCGTCCGCCCCACAACCAGCGTTTCGATTCGTTTCGTTTCGATTCAATTCAATTGGATTCGATTCGATCCGATTCGAAGCGTCTCTGACAATGCAGAAGTTAGCGGAAGTTGGCCATTTCCGTTCAATAGACACACAAAGTGTTCTTCACACATAAGGTGTGTATTAGATACAGAAGAAGAAACAGAACTAAACTAAGATAAACAAAAACAAAAGTAAAGTCTGTCGCCAAAGTAAACAGAAGAGATGTTTGTATTTATGGCAAGTTGAAAATTATATTGAAATGTGTGCAGTGCATCGAGTATACTATAGTATATACGTAGTAGCTAGTCAGTCGACTTATGGACACACACCTTATATTGTTTACTGTGACACGGAAATTGAGCATATGGCGGTCTCAAACGGGCGCACATGGCGTATGAGCAATATGTAATAAGGTTGCCGCCTATCAATGCATTTTGCATGCCGGACATCGCGATAATTGCAAGAGCCGTATACACACACACACACACACACGCACACAGACACGCTCGATAAAAGGGCCATACAGTGAAGCAGGGGTATGACGAAGTAAGGCACAGATAGGCAGGTCTCTATAGTACGAATATGTTCGATAGTATGATCCCTCAGATCTTTTGAACGACAAGCGCTAATGCAATGCATGAGCAGTTCGAGCTTAGAGCAGACCTCACTATATGTGTTATAAGACTTTAAAACTTTATTACTAGTACTGTTATTAAATTGTAAGTACTGTTATAAAAAGTAGGCGGGTAATGGTTTGGCATTCGTTACGCAGAGGCTCAACTGCAAAGTAGCTGTAAAGCGCGCATGTTGGCGCATATTTTATGCGAAAATTATGATGCGAACATGCGTCTGTCCAGTTGTTCCAGTTGTTCCATTTGTCCAACTAGATGGCCGCATGGTAATCAATAAATTAGACGAAGGAGGGGGTGGGTGTGGGGCTTGGGGGTGTTTGCTTAAGTCGCGCAGCTAAAGCGGCAGCACGAACCCAGCTGTTTGTTACCAATTGAGGAGGAGGAGGAGGAGGGGGAGGGTGGGGGTTACGGATAGGTGATAGGTGGTAGGTGGGTGAAGGGGATAAACTGAGTTAAGGCAAATGGCATGTTCTTTTTGTCTATGCATTGTTTGTTCTTCCTTAGTGCGTTCCACTTCTTCCAGACATGCATGGATTTTGTTTAATATTCTCATTTATTGATTCCTTGGCATGTTTTCAAATGCTCAGAAGATAAGAAGGAAATGCAAGCGAAAGAGCTCCAATCAAACTAATCAAATGCAAACTACATTCTCTCCCCTCTCTCTCTCTCTCGTTCTTTCTTTCTTTGTATCTCTCTCTCTCTCTCTTTCTGTTTCTCCCAACGTCTCTCTGCCCCCCGCTTTCTTTTGTTTTTTTGTTGACGCTCTCTTTGCAGACAGCAAAACATCGCAAACCGACGAAGAGAAGCAACGCGATCGGCAGCGCAACGAGCGCGAGGCCAAAAAGGAGGAGCAGGACGCCATCAACTATAAGGTGAGTGTGTCAGTGTCCGCGATTGTGTCTGTGTCTGTGTGTCGGTGTGTGCACGAGACAAACGCGTCGGTAGTTTAGTGTCGCGCTCTCTCTCTCTCTCTCTCTCTCTCTGTCTCTGTCTCTCCTATCTCTCTGCCTCTCTTCATCTCTCTGTCTCTTTGTCTTGTACTCTCTGTACTTTATCTCTCACTCTTGATAAATGTGCATCGCGAGTGTCGCGTTTGAAAAAAAAAAAATTAAATTAAATAAAAGAGAACCCATCGCATCTAAAATCGAAATCCAAATCCAAATCTAAATCGAAATCCAATCGAATCCAAATCAAATTACTCGTTTCGCAACTAAGCAAATTAAAAAATGGCAGCCACGCCCACAACCTTATAGTAAAAATGCATTTTGCAACAATTGCATGCAAACAGCGCGACAAGGAGCAACGCGAGGCACGCCTGCTGGACTTTGAGATACGACGCCAGCAGAAGCGCGAGGAGCAGAATCAGCAGCGACAGCAGCAGCAGCAAATACAACAACATCAGCAGCAGCACCAACAACAGCAGCAACAACAACAACAGCAGCAACAGCAACAACAGCAGCAACAACAACAGCAGCAGCAGCAACAAAGCGAAAAAAGTCCACCCACCACTTCGGCTCACTCGCAGCAACAACAGCAGCAGCGGCAACAGTTGCAACTGCAACAACAACAATCCCTGCAGCAGCAGCAGCAACAACAACAACAACTGCCAAGCAGCAGCGGCAGCGGAAGCGGCAACACACCGGCCACGCCCAAGCTACAGACGCCGCCGGATCGCTCTCTACCGCCAGCCTTTCGCAGCCACTCAATCGAGCGTGAGATTCTCTACGAGCGGAAACGTTTCTCGGCGTCCCAAACAGCCGAATTCAAGGTAAGTCGATCCGATGATTTCCGGGCCCCTATGCTTCGACCCAACAGTCAAATAATTTGCACACAAACTCATCTATTTAGGCATCATTCAAGCGACGAGAAAAACTTCCTTATTGCTTTTCCTTCAAAATACCTTAACTTGTAAAAGGGAGCGTGTTTTTGCGCCAATTATTTGCCTGTCTGATCGCAGGCCTTTACCCTTGATAAATTAAACTGGGACTATTTTGACTAAAAGTACTGTTGCATCACTAAATAGTGGAAGATCTTGGCTGGGCAAAGCATAAACTTAGGCCCACCGTAAGGAACTAAGCTTAGCCATGTGACTCAAAGGTAGTGAGAAAACAATTACAGTCAAACCAGAGAATGAGTTTGTCACCTTTTTAGTCGTAACATTCTGTCAGAAAGTAAACAGAAATGCAAAGTAAATTGAACAATCACACTCTGTACATGAAATTTATAAGAGTAGTAGACACGTATCAGGATTGCGGGAAGTGTGAAGTGAAAATGTAATAGGGAGACGGAGGCGACAATTTTCCCAACCCCCACAGAGTATTATATGTATCAGCATCTGGTTATCCGTCTGTCTGTATGAACCCAAGTATCTCCTAACGTATAAAGCTAGGGTCAAAAGAATTGGTATATTCAACATATTGATGTATTTTTAGAATGTGAATTTTGTAAAGTTTAGAAAATAATATTATTTTATAATAAATAATATTATTTTACTAAGAGAGAGGGACTGGTTACAAAACGATATTAATACGCCCATAGAAAACTACAATAGATTTGTACTTTATGCAATAATAAATCAGACAAATTATTTATAATTTATAATTTTTGATTTTTAGATCAAGCTTCATCGTGATAGACCGATTTTAATGTCGAGCCATCCTCTTGTTTCGATCTAATTGAGAGCTCCTACTACTATAACCCAAGCCAACTTATCTACTATTCTTACGCTCTATTTGCAATCTCTATCTTAACTGGCCTCAACTGGCACTGTTTAATGGAAACAAGTTTTACTTAAGCTAGCTAAGCTGTTTACACAAAGTCCAATCCAATCTACCATTATGTAACGAGCGGGATCAATTCTCCTGTGCATATTATATGTGCCCGAAACTATTGTGCCCTTTGGTTACCGGTTATAAAAAGAAGCTAGGAGCATATCCTTGCATTAATCTTAAAATTTTTAATTCAAAAATATGTGTTATATTAATAAGTCTAATATTTAGGAATGTCCATAACATCGATATTTTTATAAAAATCTATCGAAACATCGAATCTAAAAAGATCGAGTTAAAATCGAAAACAATCGCTTACGTTAAAATCGATACATCGATATATCGATGCATATTTACAGCACTACCCTTAACTTAATTCTACCCTGCTGCCATATTTCTTATTCAACCCTCACTTTATATGCATAATCCAGCCGAGCCTTAACTTAGCCCAGTCTTACATAAACGTATCCAAGTCTTACATTACCTAACCCGGCCCATCCCCACTTGACCCCAATTACCCTCACCTAACCTATTGTAGAGCTATGTGCCGAAAAAGGTGGCTGAAAAATGAGTTCTATCTGTCGTTAGCCAACCTCATTTAGGGCGTTGTGCCGAAAAGGGTAACTGAAAACCGAACTTAAGGATCTGTAATGAATCGAAAGGATATGAACATTTTTAATTAATTGTTGATTGCATTTTTTGTTTTTTGTTTTTTTTGTTTTTCAGTTGCCTTGCGGGCTAACCGCGACACCATCGCCTCAAACCCTTGCTGGAGCGCCGGCGCCTGCAGCGCATACGGCGGCATTGGCGGGCCCGCCGGCAACAGCCGCGGCTGCCACAGCTGCGATAATCCCGATATTACCGCTCGGCGTTGCCACGCTGCGCGATGATTCCACGGAATCGGAGCAGTCCGTGACGTGCGCACAGGCCCAGCCAGATGCCTACCATCGCATCATGTGAGTACCAAGCCAATTTTTGTTGACCACTTTTAAGTCATTTGTAAGTGGTGGGGTGGGGGAGGGGATAAAAGGGGAGGGGTTGGGGGATGGGTTTTCAGTCGCTCATTTAAAATGCAATTAGTGTGCTGTGCGCAGAGACATGTGCATTAACTGCCGTCCGGCAATTGCAGTTGCACTCAAGCCAGGAGCTGCCAGGAGCCTCCGGTCGGTCCGCCGAGGCACACACACACACACACACACAGCTGCCGTTTGTCATTCACGCTTCAAGGCTCTGCCCAAATTAACTTTCGGCTGCTGGCGAGCTACATGGCCGAGAGCAAGCGAGCAACAAAGACGAAATACAAGCCTCGAAAGTGCAAGACCGCAGGAAGCTAATTGCGAAGCGACGAAGCTGGAATACTCTACAAGAGTATGTGCAAGGAAGAGATGCAAGGGTCCGCTTTCTACAAATTACAAATAAGAAGCTGTTGCTTCATAAATTTCTTGATAACCGGGTCGATATTATATATAGACATGGAATTATTTTATTGGAGATAAAGATGAAATACTCTATGTGCAAGGAAGAGATGCAAGTGTCCGCTTTCTACAAATTACAAATAAGAAGCTGTTGCTTCATAAATTTCTTGATAACCGGGTCGATATTATATATAGACATGGAATTATTTTATTGGAGATAAAGATGGAATACTCTATGTGCAAGGAAGAGATGCAAGGGTCCGCTTTCTACAAATTACAAATAAGAAGCTGTTGCTTCATAAATTTCTTGATAACCGGGTCGATATTATTTGGTTAGGCCTCACCTATATAGACATGGAATTATTTTATTGGAGATAAAGATGGAATACTCTACTATGTGTGAGCAAAAGATGCGAGCGTCCGCTTTCTGCAAATTACACATAAGACGAACTAGCTTCATAGATCGCTCGATAACCGGAAACTTGGTTGATAATGTTTGGTTAACCCTCACCTATGTACAAGTATATTGATAGAGAATTATTTTATTGGTGGTACAAATTCGGGTTAACCTTTTAGCCAATTTCTCACTCTAGATAACTTGGAGAGAATTGTTTTGCGGACAATTTTTCTGCCTTTATAAATATTTATGTTTATTGTTGCTGATATATAGATGTGAACTATATCTGTGTTTGGAAATCGAGTGCGCGTTTTTATCAGTGCCTCAGATTTTGATCGAACTTTTTCCAATTCCGACTAGTGTCACATTATATTAAAGTTTTTCTTAAAATAATGGCCTGAATTTCTGATATATGAATATTTATTGAATATTTGCAGTATTTTGTACTTGCAGTTCAAAGTTCAGTTGATTTGTTTGTACAATAGATACCAGATGAGATATACGCATATAGCAATAACTTCTTTTAATCACTTTAATTTGGATGTAAAGCTTAGTATTGAAATCATTTTCTTAGGCAGTAGAATATGGTATAGATTGTGTATATCTGTTTGCTTTGAAGCCCCTTTCGTTGTACGATAGATTAGATAGTTTTTTTTTTCATAGAGAGCTATAGAAATCAGTTCTTTGAATCATTTTAGTATGGGTCTATTTTTGAATGCGCTACAAAATATTAATGGAATGTCCTGGAATTCCCTACCCATACAATTATTGTGAATATTTTTTCCCAATATGAATAATATGCTGTATCAGGCAAATTGTCATTGAATTGTGGGTAAACTTTAATAGGCATTGAGTTCGGCAGTAAACATAGTTAATTGTACACAAGGTATACAAACATATCTCAAACTGTCGTGTTATGGCCAAATCTGCCGGCCGATTCCGCAACACAAAATCAAAATCAACATTAAAAAATAAAAAAATGTAGCGTATAGACATGCACACATGTGTTATCGATTTCAATTTCAATAACTTGCCAAACACGAATGCAAAGTCTAATGCTAGCAAGCATATAAAAGCTTGTTAAGTTGAAAAATATGAAAAATATGCGTTGTTAAGCAAATTGTCATGAAATTGTGAGTAAACAGTGAGTTTGTCTGAAAACACAATCAACAAACAAATATTTAGAGTGTAGGCGTGCAAATATGTGTTATCGATTTCAATTTCGATTGCAATGCATGAGCTGGTCGCGGAAAAAGCCAAATAACATGAATATTGCTTTCATTCCCCTTTGAATAATCAAATACCTAATGCTAGCAATTATATATAAGCTTGTCACAGGGCCTACAATCAAAATAATTGCCACTTGTGGCAGCAATTGTGTTGATGGGCGTACTATTGACCATTAATCAAAATTAAGGCCCATTAATAAGCTTCAGCGGTGAGGGGTGAGTGGTGAGGGGGAGGAGTCCAATACCAGTTCTCTAATTGAAATGATTATGTTCACAAGCGTGCGGGTGGTTGGCTTAAAGCTTTAAAGCTGTAACGCAGGGAGGAGGCTTGACCTCTTTCCATAACATTCGTGGCTAACCCTTTTGATTGACTAGCAGGAGTGGCCTTTCGATAGGGTATGGCAAAGGGGCAAATGCGGTCAACAAATGGCTTTGCCTTTCGAGTTGGCCACGGCATGGAGCTCTGGCCAAATTATAATTGTAAACGCCACACACACACACACACACACACACACACAAAAGCAGTCGCCCGCAAGTTGTGAAAAGAAAGCAAATTAAAAATGTAATAGGCACAAAGTGGGGCAATGCAAGCCAAAGCCAAAACTAAAGCTAAAGCCAAAGCTGAAACTAAAGCCGCTGTGGATGGCTGGGTAGATGGCTGGGGATGGATGGTGGGTGGGCGGTGGGGGCGTGGCTCTGCTGGACTTGTTCGCATTATGATGCAGCCACGCTCGTTGCTTGTCGCCTTAGAATGGAAAAAAATAAAATTGTTTTTTAAATAAAAAAAAAAATAAAAAATGAAAAAAAGTTGTTGCAGTGGAAGAAAAAGGTTAATGCGTGTCAAGCATTAAGGTCGCATTGAGATGATGTTGCAGCTGCAGCATCAAATGCAGGCCAAAACTTTTCGCTTCTCGCTTGCCATAAGCTGGAAATTAAAAGAAGTGTCGCCGCCTGTCACGTGGCATTGTCGATGTCTCAGCGGGCGGCCAACACACGGCTTGTTGTCGAGGTCATGCGCCGTGCCCCCCCACCGTTCCTTCACACCCACATCCACATTCACATTCACACTCGCCTTTCAATTTCATGCTGCGAAAATCAGCCCAAGTGCCGTCGTTAACGATTTAAGTGCCACAGTGCAGTCCACAGACACACCAGCTTTTCCTTTTCACTACGATGCGAGCATTTCTTTCGCTCTCCACTCGCTCAGCTTTCCCTCAGCTGTGGCTCTGGCGCAGACGCTGGCTTTCGAGCTTTCGCTGCTGATGACTGATGAGTGCAGCGAGCGCGGCATTCGAAGCATTCGGAGCTTTTGCAGCTGCAGCTTTCCATTTTTGGTGGTGGCGGCCACTGTTGCTGTTGCTGCGGTCGCCACGTGGCGTATACGTAACGTGCTACTTGCCAGAGCTCGGAGATGCGTTCAGACAACGAAACTTATTTCAGAAACTATTTAAACATTTGTGCAACAAATTTAAATATTAATAGACAAATTTCAAAGTTTTTCTTTCAATTTTCCTATCAATTTTTTAGCGGGTTTTATAACTTTTTAGCCATTTTCTAGTGGTTTCTCTACCAATTATTTGTTTGCGGTTTTTAGCCATTTTGTAGGGGTTCCTTTAGCCATTAGCGGATTTTCTGTCATTTTCTAGCATATTCTACCCATTTTTCTCTGGGCTTATAAACATTTGCAGTGAGATTTCCAGTCTTTTTTTTTTTTTAGAGGACTTTCTTGCCATTTCTAACGAATTTTCTAACGAGGTTTCTAGTCATTTTTAGAGGATTTTCTAGCCATTTTCTGCGATAACCGTCAGCTTTAACCATTTTCTAGCCAAATGTACATTAGCCATCAATTAAAAAATTAATTTTAATTAAATTACTCCAATATAACCACTAAGTTTTTTTAAATAAAAGAATGTGGGGATTTGATTAAAGAACAGATTTTTGTTTTATTTCGTATTGCCTCTCTTCTATAGTATTCGATATCGTAGCTAGCATTAATAAAGTTCGCGCTATTGTAAAAGTTTCCTTAATCTATAGTTTTACATCAGCTGATTCACAACATTTCCGGATTATTTCACTTTCACTGTTTCAATAATTGTTGCCACAAGATGTGCCTTAAATATCTAGTCAAAGTTGTAGAAGTATTTGCAAAGCAGTTTAAAGCTAACAATTTTTGTTATTTTATTATTTTATTTATTTGATTGTTTTCACGTAAATTTTGAGCTCGTTTTCACCCACTTTTGAGCTGAATTTCCAAAAAGCACTTAGCACTCTATAAAAGAAGGAGAATTCCATCGAAGTTTGTAAAATATGTTTCATCGTCTGAACAGCGGCCTAAACTGCACTTAGCCGGGACAGGCACCAAACGACACTGCATTTTATTTTAATTGCATTTGAGCTTTCGAAACTCATGCGGTTTTCTCACTATATAGACAAAGTGTGTGAGTTTGCACACACACACACATGTGTGTCCATATAATGTTGTTTGTTAGTTGTTGTGGTTATAGCCAACCAAGTGCCTTCCTCGCTCCAAATCAGAGCAGCTCAGCTGACGAACTGTGAGTTGTTGGCCAACATTTGTGCCATTAGATGTCGTTGGGCCGCAGGGCATGTCGAAAGCCAACATCTGTTGCTCATTAGGCCGCATAACTGTAGTGTGCCAAGACCGCACCACAAATTTTCTAGAAATTGAGTAAATGAGGCAGCGCGCACAAAAAGCAGAAACAAAGACTTCCAATTAGTGAAAATTATCAAGGCAAGCAACTCATAGATCAGACAATGTTGTTGAACTACGAATTTCATAATGACTGCCATTTAAGCTGATTGCTGCATTCAATTATGTTCAAGAGTATTTCAATTATGAACAAATTGAGATTCAGACATGTACATAGGTAGATAGATTTTTAAATGAATTTATT